ATTAAAACTTAAAAAAAAATGAATTTAGAAATAGAAAATAAATCCTAATTGCTCATAATACAACATTTTTGCTCTGCAATACTAAAGATAACAATGAGGTATTTTTGGAAACTACCGCTCGAGCGTTGGTCGATTGTACACACTGCTTCTCTGGATTTCCTCTTATAAAAAGTCTTCATTCCTTGTTAAATTCTTAAAATGTTCAAGCCCTCAGTTTGAGTTTGGAATCAGCCAAAGGTTCATCCAAATCCCTCAAACCAGGGCTTTGATACCAAATTGTACAAAATTTTCAAATTTTCAAATTTAAAAAAAACGGAGTTTTACAACCAGATCAATTACAAATTATTTCAAAACATAAGTGCCATAGTTATCAGAGTACAAAGGATCATGTCCCAGTAATAAATTCCCAGTACATGTGTACAATCAGACATTCGCCTTCCTGCGGTCATGCAAAGTATCTGCCACATACAAATCAAGAACTGTAAGCACAAAGTTTAATGAGTTTCCCAAGATACCACATACATCACAACGTAAAACAAACAGCTATATGTTATCAACAACCCTAGGTGTCACAACTAGAAATTTTGTGTCTTGTAATCTCTATACTTAAGTAAAATGTTGAATCAAAAACTTAAGAGCATGTGTGATGCTTATTATATGACATCAAAAATTTCAATCAAATATATCATACAAGTACTACAAATAGTCAACAAGCAATTAGAAACCCTAGAAGTTCTTGTTTAGGTCCATTTTGGACTAGGAGTTCCTTATTGGACTCAATGGACCAATAAGCTTCCAATTTGACTATCATGGGCTTAGAACCTTAAATGGGCTCTAATTGGACCCACATTCATTTATTTCAACATTTTGGGCCATATTGGGCCTAGAATGAAATGAATTAAAAGCTTGATCCGTGAATAACCTAAACTAGTCCAACAAATATGTAAAAATCATACTATATTCTTTTATGGTAAAACTCACCCAAACTAACTCTAATATTGGGCTTAGGGGCAAAAAGCCCAAATTTTCCTTTTCCTTCAAGATTCTCGGCCCAAGGCCCAAGCCCAAGAAGAAGTGGTGAGGAGTTGACTTCTTCATGCCACCTCACTTATGTCCAACATACTTCCATGCATGGACCAACATACATCTATGAATGTCAACTCAACCATTTCTCTCCTCTTTCTTCTTGACCTCGGCCGAAAGCACCCACACACACACACTTTCATCACTCCTTACATATCAAACACTCTCCAAGAACACCTCCCCCCTCTTCATAAAATTTTCAAGAAATAAGGGCAATCCAAGGAGATTTTTCACAAAAATCACCCTCCAAGGTAAGGTTATACTAAATTCTATGATCTAGGTTCCTTGATCTATCAAAAATCTCTTCTTAACTCATGAGAAATCATGATCTTGTATCCTAGAAACACCTCAAGGCCGAGATCTTCATCAAAGGGTGATAGGGCCGAAAAATCACCAAACTTTCTTCCATTTCTCCTCCAAAACCGAAACCACACCCTAAGGTGAGCTTCATACCCCCTATTTTCTGTTTTTATGAGTTTTGTGGGGGGGGGGGAATACAAGTGAAAGTGTAGATCTATATATGTTTTGTATGCCTTGTATGATTTCTATGCTTATATGTGTGTTTTTGTGTGTTATAATGTTGGATCTAGCCTTAAAACCCCTAAAAACCGAGATATACTTTATGATTAATGATACTAGCATCAAGTATATTTCTACATGCAAAGTGTTCCAAGAAAAATAGCTAAATGGCTTAATAACATTTTATTTGGACTAAAAACTCAATTTTTGGACATAAAATGATAAAAATATAAAGTTAAAGGGCCCAAAATGTCATATCACGAATTCTGATGGATGAGGAGTGTCAAAACAGTTTCAATGAAATATTTTCTGAAAATATACTCATTTGGAGGATTAAAAATATAAATTTCAAGCTTAATGGGCTAAAAATGACAATTTCGGCCCAATAGGGCCCATTATGCAAAATTTTCTGTTTTGGAGGGCCAAAACTGTGTTTTTCTGTAAAACAGTGGACTACTAAGGTTCCAAGTACTTTTCAAAGGTTTAAAATGCTTTTCCAATTTAAAAAGGACCAAAGTTGCAAAAAATTTCCAATTTGGGCCAAAATTGTAAAAACTGCGAAAAAGAGGGGCTATAACCGAGAAAACTGCAATTTCAGGGACTTAAACTGTTTTCAATGAAAAATATGCTGAAAAATATTAATTTCAATAATTTTTGGTGTAAAATGTCAAGAAAAATGATTTAAGGACCAAACCGGAAAATTATTTAATTAGAGGGTTGAAAAGAGTAAATTTTACAAACAATGAGGGGCTGAAAACAGAAAACTTTCAAGGCTAATTCAATGCACGCAACTTGATCAAATATTGGAACCGCGACTACCTACGTAATACCATACACAACAATACCAAAAATCGTTGTTAAACGAATTGATTCGGTCTCGAATCAATAACAATCCGAAAATACTAACACGACAATAACTCGATTCATACACGAAAACATTTGGTAATTCAATATACATGTGAGAGTGCACAGACATCTACGCACCATCTTTGGGCCCCAAAGTGTAAAATCTTGTTTGTTGGGCCTAGCTAGCCCAATGACCTGATCTTAAGGCCCGAAGACTTCTACCTTACGAGTTGTTGGGTCTTACATGATCTAACACAGCGTAAAAGGACTTTCAATGGATTTTATACCATTGGTCCCCAAGGGTCCTATGGTATTGCTAGTAAAGTCGGTATTTCATGCGAGGCGGGTCAAGGGCCCCTCGTACCCTTTTTTTTTTTATCCCCAACCGGTTAATGGAGACATCGGGGTCTTCGTGTCCTCTTTCTCTTCGGATGTGGGATTACTCGGAGTCAGGGCGGTTGGATAACGTGATTAGTACGGACGACGCCTACGGGATCGTTAGTATAGTTATAAACTGGTCGTTTGTGTAACGCTGTTTATAGCAATTAAGCATGCGCAAAAATAATCCGACGTCGCATGGAATTAATGACTTCACGCGTTACAATGGTTTTATTTTTAACTTCATGGAATTCAAAGAAGTAGGAAAACATCGGGCTTTCCTAGGGTTTTTCAATACATACGGTTTCGAAATGTATACAAGTTTAATGAACAATTTTTACAAATATAGAAACAAACAAGCATACCTATGGATCTTCACAAATGTTTTCAAAAGCTTTTCTTTTCAGAAAATATCGGATTTTCTGGTGGTTTTCAAAATGATACAAAACATTGTTTTCCTAAATATCGCTTATGAACTCACCAACATTTCACATGTTGACTTTTTTTTTCAAAATACTTGTTTTCTCAGGTAACCAGTGAATCAAAGGAAAATGTACTCAGTGATGGCTTGCAGTTTATCTATTAACGAACTGAACAATTTATTTTTGGGAATGTAATATTTTGAGACAATGTAATGGATGTAAACTCTATCAGTTGTAATATTCAAATGTTGGTGACGAAAGATGATATGTTTCATGTATATTCATTGTGATGGTATTCAATTGAGTCACAACAGCTCCTGAACGTTTCCGCCGTCTGGTTCGGGGGTGTGATACTAGGACTATCAGTAATCCCGGTGACCTAACAACATGCTCAAGAGGTTATCTACAACCCCCAGTTGGCTGTCAGTAGCCCCAGTTACAACAAACATCATATCAACACATAATATAGCATAGCATAACATAACAACTAGACCTAACTGGTCATAATATTACAACTATCCTTCCACGCAAGTAAGAGTAATTGATGAGACTCACCTAATAGTGATGACACGAAAATTTAGCACCCGAAGTGCCAGATCTAGACTCTGCCTAGTTAACAAAATAATTAACCTTAATTAAAATTAAGGTCCGAACCACTCACAAGTCCAAGGTCAACAGTTAATCCTTATAGGGGCAAAAAAGACCATTTTCCCCCTCCTTAGGTCCAAAACCCTAAACTTTGACCAAAAGTCAAAGTCAACAAAAGTCAACACCCAACGAGTACGATGGGCATACCATCAGACTAAGCACTCGATGGGGATCCTCCAGACTATGTTGCGTGTAGCTGTGAGTACGCACAACATACTCTATAGACTTCTATTTCCTCACTTTTGGGGTCTTAATCCGTTAAGAGTTAAGACAACCATTCCATCCATATATTTGACTAATTTAAGACTTCTTATTCCATAAAGGCATCGACTTTAAGCCTTTGCATGTCTAGGAGAGGCTAGAACACCATTTCACCCATTCTAAAGTACTTTACTCATGCATGAGGTCAAAAGAAAGATCAAGCAAGCATTTTTATTAACCTAGGTGCCTTAAGATACATGAAAGGACATCTTAAACTCTACGAGGAGTCTCAATATTCAAAAGGTCCAAACTTAGGGACTTAAACTCATGAATCTTACACTAAATAGATCTATAAGAACACTAGCCAAGGTATAAAGTTTATACCTAAAAATGATGCACAAAGGTGGGGAGTTTTTTGATCTCTAAGCTGGATGACACCTTCTTCTTATTTTATAACCTTCTTTTTCTTCTACAAGAGTCAAGAACCACTCAAAACTTGCAAAAACACACACTCACGCTACACAAAACGAAATTAGGGTTTTAGAGAGGGTTGGAGGCTGATAAGGGTGCCTAGAAATGAGACCATAATATTCTTTATATAGGGACCAAAGAAAATACCATGGTTTTGCATATGAGCCTAGTACGCCCAACGTACTAGGTGACCTCCACAATTTGCATGGTGCATGAGTACGATGCGCGTACTCATGCGTATGCCCCACTTACTGACTTGCCAACCTATCATATTAAGGGATTGATTTTTACATAAAAAGGAAAGATTCAAGAATGATAATTGTACCTTATTTTGGGATGTTACACATATATTTTTTTATTTTTTTATTTCTAAAGTGAAAAGAATTAATACAAATATATAAAATCAATGACTATGAACCAAAACTAAAGTTAATGCCTATGTGTCTAGTGGCAGATCCAGACCGAAAGTTAATCGGGATCCACTATATCGTTTATGGCCGATTGGAGCAGCTTCTGGTGACTAGCCGATTGTGTCTCTGGGTACTTTTCTTGGTGTGAAAGTCGGTAAAAGAAGAAATTTATTTTTTATGGTATAGAAAAAAGAGTAAGAGGTTTCACTTTTTTATTAAGTGGGGAGAATGGAGATATATGAGTATAAAATAGAAAAAAATATATATTTTTTTACCTATATATATATATTTAAGGTGAGCCAACCTTAAGTGGTGTCATACACCCACTTACCAAAGGGTTGCTCCACTGAACCGTCATTATATGTGTCAAAAGGATAACCGGGTTATCCATTCGTTTTGTCAAAAGTGACCAAATAGAACAAACAAAAAACAGTTTGTTTCCTTAAAAAGCACGAAAAAAACTTTAGGAACTGAAAAGATAAAATCAAAATATATGGTGGTACCGTTGCATCATTTTTCCTTTAATAAAATGAGATAACACTAGTTTCAACCCTCTTTCTAAATCGCGTAAACACTGTGTTGGGAAAACGAGTTTTTATTGCCTCTTTACAACTATGTCTTAGCAAATTTATTAATATGCTTTTAAATTTTTAATACCCATCATAAACGTTTTTTGAAATAAGTTGTCATAATATTGTATTAATCTATTATTTCTCAATATAAATTTTCAAACATATTTGATTAATTATTTGTTAATTACGTGATATCAATAAAAAAATTTATTTACGAAGCTGTTTAAATAACACTTTGAATATTAACCAACGGTATACTACAAATAAAAATAAAAATAAAAATAGTTACTCAAATGCACTATTTAATTTTGTCCGAAAATTGCTTTGATTTAAATGCCATGTCCGAAAGTCTCCACTGTTGAATGTGGATGCAGCCCTACCCCTCTGTTACTCTCTCGATCTCCCAACGAAGATTTTCGCGCGTCGATTCACACCAGGTATGCTTAATCGCAACTGTTATCAGCTATTGACACACACTACTTGCAAGCTTTTTCTTATGATTGATTCGTTGATATGTTCGTTTTAGATTTATCGTTCATTTTATGATTTTTAGGTTATTGTCAATTAATGTCTACGAACCTTGATACTATTGAATCGAGTTCCGATGCTGTTGTTTCAGCTGAACTTCCGAGTAACAGTCATGTCGCGTTGAGTAACGAGGTTAACGTTGCGGTTGAGGTTGGGGATGAATTGTTAGAATCGAATACTGGAACCCTAACGACGAAACCGTCTTCTGATCATGATAGAGGTGGTACTGTTGCTCATGATTCGGTTAATGATTCTAGGGTTTCTCGAGATGAAAGAGAAAATGTTGAGAAAGATCTAGATGAAAAGGCAGAAGAAGAAGTTAATCACGAGGAAAAGGAAGAAGAACAAGTTAATCATGAGGAAAAGGAAGAAGAAGAAGAAGAAGAAGTTAATGATGAGGAAAAGGAAGGTGAGTATAAGGTCTCCGATCTGGTTTGGGCAAAGGTAAGGAACTATCCATGGTGGCCTGGACAGATATTTGATCCATCTTCTTCAACAGATGTAGCAAGGAAATACTCAAAGAAAAAAGGGTTTCTCATAGCATATTTTGGTGACCAAAGTTTTGCTTGGAATGAGAAGTCAAAAATCAAGCCATTTAGGAAGAATTTCTCAAAAATGGTGAACCAAAGTAACAGCACAAAGTTTCTTCATGCTGTTGATTGTGCTTTGGATGAAGCTTTGAGGCGAATCGAGTTTGGATTATCCTGTTCTTGCTTGTCCAAAGAGGTATATGAGAAAATCAAATCCCAAACATTAGTTAATGCTGGAATTAAGAAAGAAGATAGTAGAATCAATGGTGGTGATCGCTTTTCTACTGTTGCCACTTTCAAACCTGCTAATGTTGTTCAATCTGTGCAAGATTTAGCTAGAGAACAGTTTGATGGATTCAACAAATTACAGGTTTTGTCACTTAATACTCAGTTATGCTCATACTATCGTTGGAAAGGGTATCATCAATTTTCTACACGCTATTTTTTAGATGGATTAGATGAGAAAGTAGAAGAGAATTGTTCTGAGATTCCTCTAATTGCAAAACCATCTTCTTCAGATGAAAAGGTTTCATCTAAAAAAAGGAAGCTGAAAGATAAGAAGATTGTTAAAGATGAAAAACAAAAACCAGCTTCTGTAAGTGAAGAAGAGAAAGTTTCTAAAAAAAGAAAGTTAAATGGTTCTGATAGTGTGAATTCACAGAAACATAAACACAAACGCATGCGTAATGGTAATGGTGATGGTGATATGATCCCAAAAAAGAAACTGACAAAAGATGGTGGCAAAAAAAGTCGGAATGGAATTGCAGATAGAAAGCCATCAGCTCCAATTCCGATTCCAACACCAAAAAGACTCTTTGGGGTTGGTGACAGCATCTGTAGAATTGCTAAAAAACTATCATTGTCGCCTTTGATTCCCATTCCCAAGAAGGAATCTGAATCGGAATCCCAATTCCAGTCCCAGGTATCTAAGGATTCTGATTCCGATTCCGATTCTGATTCCAATTCCAATTCCAATACTGTTGATGAGAAGCGTGTTGACCAAACTCAGGAGTCAACAAAGTCTGATGATGTGTCAACCAAATCTGAGATAAGTGATTCAAGTCTGAAAACCACAAGCAAAGAGAAGTTTGCTGCACTGATTCTAAAGTTTACAAATTTGGATTCCATTCCATCGGTGACAAATCTGAATGAGATATTTAGGGTGTATGGGAGTTTGATGGAATCAGAGACTGAAGTGTTGAAGAAGAGTAGTTGTGCTAAAGTTGTGTTTGAGGAAAAAACAAATGCAGAAGCTGCTTTTAGTAGTGCTGGAAAGTTTGGTATTTTTGGACCTTCTCTTATTAGTTACAGACTTGATTATTCACCAACACCAAGGAAAATCTATACAAGAAAGGGAAAGAAAAAGAATGGAAAAGGCAATTCCGTTTGATAATTAATGTAATGTACTTTTAGCTACAAATTATATATAATTAGGTAGCCTTAAGGTTATAACATGAGAGAGGTGTTTTTTTTTTAAGTAACAAGTAATTGCTTCCTGTTGGATTTTGTATTTGCTAATATGGATATGATTAGTTTACTATTTGTTTGAACCATATTTCTTTAGATGAAAATTGATTAGTTTTGTAAAAATATTGTTAAATTTATGTTGTTTCTTTTGTTAAAAAAAAAGTCATTGAATAAACCAAATCTGATGCTATATTTTCAAACAAAGTTTCATATCCTGTTACAATATTTAACATCTCAAGAACATTTTTCATTTCATTTTGGTGTTGGTTAAGTTTTTTGGTTAAAATATTTTAAACATATCACAATCCTTTATTTGTTGTTTATCGATATTTTGTTTAGATAATTACCAATAAGACTTTGGTAAAAGAATTTGAAAAACTTTATTTTGTAAGTTAAGGTAAAGTTGGACTTTGATATTTTTATAAAATATATTCAAAATTTCAAACAATTCAAACACAAAAAAGCAACACACATTCACTAATAGAAAGCAATATAAAAGTAGGCAAAAACAGTTATCTAAATAAATTGTGTTTACCAAAATCACATTACAAAACAAGAACAAATCGTCTGCCCTCTGCAAACACAAATCTAAAACCACAATACCATTTGAACTCTTCAACAAACATATCAAAACTAAGACAAAAGTCACCAGTAAAACCTCCTCAGAAATATCACTTAAGATCTTGGCTTCTCCTTCTTCTCCTTGAAAAGAGCCAAAAGTGAAACCCCTGAAACCTTCACCACCTTGAACCTAACTCCGGGAATATCTCCCACAGCATGTCCCTTACGTCCAAATCCAGCAATCAAAACTTCATCCTGTCAAACAAACAATCATAAATTATACACATCATGAAAGAATTGACAGAAGTGTGTGATTGAAATAACAAAATTGGGTACAAACGTTTTCTTCAATGTAGTTCAAGCAACCATCATTGGGGACGAAAGCAGCGATCTTCTTTCCATTCTTGATGAGTTGAACTCTGGCACACTTTCGGATAGCAGAGTTAGGCTGCTTAGCTTCAATACCACTGTCAAAATGAAGAAAGTTTAGGTTTTGGAATTGAGAAAGGAATAGACGAATTTGGGGATTTAGGATTTACATTTTCTCAAGGACGATGCCTTTAGCGTGAGAAGAACCAGCGAATGGTTTCTTCCATTCGTTACCAAGGTGAGACTTCTTGTATGATTTGTCAGCCCATCTTTGTCTGCGGCGATGTGACTTCAGCTTGCGTCCAGCTCCCATTCCATGTGTCTTTCTGCAAATTTCGATCAGTATAAGCAAACACCATCGCCATAAAAAAAACCATATACAGTTCTCAAATTGTTTAATTCCTTTTCCTATTTTCATCATATCTAATCATCGCAGAGGTATCCTCATGTCAAGCTGTGTATTCACAGTCCGTATATGTATATCAATATGAAATCTAAGCTCGTTTCCGACTTACTAGATCTAAACACTATTTCAAATCATAATAATAAACAAAAATAGCGAACTGTAATCTTCCAAATCTGTTTCATACGTTGCTTAAGCTATAACAGTGTTTGATTCATGTATCCGGTTGAGTTATCAACGAAACAGTATTCAATGAGCAAATAACTACTGGAATCATGTATATGAACTCATATAATCCACGACTACAATTTTGACAAAAACAGAACACATTCAAGAGAAGAAGGAGAAGATAGATATGATCAAAGACGGTGGTGCTTACCCCATGTTTGCGAGATTTGAGTGAAACGCTGACGGCGCGTAGGTTCCGAGCGAGACCTTGAAGAAGAAGCGGCTGCCTTGATAAAAACCCTACTTCTTGTGACGAATGAAGCAGAGATCATGTTTTTATATGGGTGGGTCATGACTAATGACGATTGTGCGAACCAGAATGGGCCAACCAATGCCTCTTTTTTGGGCCTTGTAATTGGGCCGAGCTGTTGTTATTTTAACAAAAAGAATTAACAAAAACTAAATGTTTTTTACGGCCTATTAGAAAAAAAGGAAATAAGAAGAAGCAAAACGAAAAAAATCCCTAAAAAAATCCCACATATCATCTTCGAATGATCGAAAAAAATCTATCATGTCTATAATAATACTTTTTAAACGGTAAACCCTTCAAAGTCGGTTAATTACCAATCGTGATTTCAAAAAAATCTAATATATCTTAAAAAACATTGTGTTTTATAAATAAAACATTTTGTACAATAAAACCTTTTATGTTATGGTTTTGTACAAAAAAAAATTCTTTATTTATATAATATATTTCTCTCTTGATAAATGATAATTGATAAATATCTCATTCATTCCACAAAAACAAGGGGGTTCAAATGCATAATTTCTCCACTTTTTTATGGTTTTTTTTTTTTTTTTTTTGAGATATTGTAAGACCTGATGGCTCTAAGGTACTTATTTAATTTGGTTATTTATTTATTGAGTAAATTACTAAAATCAACCCTATGGTTTGGTCAAAATTGTACGTATGATCCGTAACTTTTCTTTTGCAATCGGATCGTCCATGTGGTTTGATTTTGTTGTGTTTTTCGTCATTTACATACATAAAGTTAGGGACCAAACGTGCAATTTTGACCAAACCATAGTGACGAAAAACGCAACAAAATCAAATCACAGGGACGATCCGAGTGCAAAAGAAAAGTTAGGGACCAAACATGCAATTTTGACCAAACCATAAGGACGATTTCAGTAATTTACTCTTATTTATTTTGATTTTAGGCCTCGAGCTCATCAGACTTAACTATTTTTGGACTCTAGGTGTGTCGTACGTGGGGCGTACCACCTTATGTACGTTGGATGTACTAGTGAAAAGGGGACGCGGATGCTATGCATGTACGCGCGACGTACGTGTCTAGACCCCAAAACCCTAATATTTAGGGTTTGAGCACCATTTAAAGAGCATTATGTCCCAATGATCTTTCCCACCAGCCTCCCTCTTGTCCTTAAGCAACCTCCACGAAACCCTAACTTCATTATTGGGTGTTGTTGAGCTTGGAAGGTATTTTTTTAGTGTATCTTTAGTGTTTTGAAGGAAGGGATCGTCTTGAAGCTTCATTAGAGGAGTGAGAACTTGAAGATCCAGAACATCATCATCATTTGGCACTTATTAAAGGTATAAAGCTTTGCAATTGTTGTATTATAGCTTAGATCTAGTTCTAGCTTGATTTTGGTTAACTTTTGGTCCCATGAGTGAGTTTTGGTGGCTTGATGCTATACCATAAGTTATGAGTTGCCCTCTTGACGTTTTCGAGGATTATAAGCCTTAAAGTTAGCACCTTTGGGGTCGAAACCCACCCATGCATGAATTTGAGTCCATTTTATGGAAGTAGAGTGTTACATGTCGAGTTTGGGTCATTTGGGGCATGCAAAGCCACCAAGTCAATGACTTTTATGGTTCCAGATGTTGAATGCGACTCAGATATGTGATTAGGACCATTGGACTAAGGAATTAAGAGCTTAATAGAGAGATGGCTTAATGGGTAAGTACGTTGGGCGTACAATCTCGTACACACAACGTACAAGCCATGCAATGTGTACGCTTAGCGTATAGCTGAGTACGCCAAGCGTACTCAGTGATTGGGCTTCACATTTTTTGGGCCTCGGATGGGCTACTTCTTTGGACATTATTGTTTTGGGCTTTATTATGCCATCTGAAATTAGGATTTGGACTAAGGAAATTATTGAGCTTTAAGGTAAGGCCCATATGGAGGGTTTGGGCCCAATTTGGAAAAGTGGGTCATAAGTGGGCCTTAGAGGAACAATTGGTTTTGGGATTTTTGGTTTGTGGATTTGGACCTTGGTATTGGATCAATTTATGACAAGGGTAAAATGGTTATTTTACCCCAAATTAAATTATTGGGTATCGTTTAGAACCCATGTGTTAATGAGGTGTTATTTTGTACTGATAGCTCGAGGAGTCATCAAGATAGTAGCTTGTGATCTTCAGTGAGATTCAACACTCGATGTGAGTTTCCTCACAATGTATAGCGAGTCGAAGACACCAATGCCGACTCATGATATGACCTATTAGAATACTCGTTGTATGTGTGACACTAGTATTTGTATGTGCTTGTATGTTTATGGGTGGGGCCCGATGATTATCATGTATGTTAATGGTTGCTATAGGATTTATATGTGGGCGGGACCCATTATACGAGTTAGGGCAGGGCCCTTTATGCGAGTTAGGGTGGGGCCCATTATGCGAGTTAGGGCAAGGCCTGTTATACTCATCAGGTGGGGCCCGTTATATGCTATGTATGTTGGTATGCAGTATTTGGGGAACTCACTAAACTTTGTGCTTACAATTTTTAGTTTATGTTTCAGGTACTTCCGGTTCCAAGGGGAAGAGCTTGAGTTGACTGCATCGTACACATCTTATGGATTCTATTTATGGGACACACTTTGATTTTTATGATGTTTGGCATACTTATTTTATTGGATTGTATGAATAATGTTTTGGAATATTGTTTTCACTTAAATCAAAAACGAAATTTTTGGGTCATATTTTATGGATGTTACAGATACTACTTGGTTACTTAAACAATATGAATCTTATCGCTACGGTTACACACTATCCAATATGATATGTTTTAGAGAAGAAAAATACAGTTTGCTTCATTGATTCTTATTTTTGTTATGTGTTATGTTTGTCTTGTATCTTGTTGTCACTTGTGGTGTAAATTTCTTACTAAAAATTGGTATTGTATTATAATTTTGTATTATTTATTACTTGTACTTCATATATGGAATCAATGGCAATTCACCAATCATCATGGTATCATGGGTTTCCTAGGTAATCCATCTCCTACAATATTTCTCTTCACTCATTGGCTATTTTCTATATATTCTAAGGACCTTTTTTTTGTCATCATCTCCTTCTTTCACCATTATGAGTTTGTTATCATTGTGCCTTACGAGGC